AGGTCAGAGGTCAGAGGTCAGTCTGATCTTTAGCTTCCAGCTGGAAGAACTGAAGCTGACTCTAGATCTATCCCTCTAGATCGCTCCTCTTTAGGCCCAAAGATAATAGCTTCACTTTTGTTTCTGTTCAGCTGGAGAAACTTTTGTCTCATCCAGATGTTTCTGTTCTCAGCATCTGTTCAGTGATTGGATGGGGTCAAAGGTCACCTGGTGGTAGAGCTGTGTATCATATCAATATCAACAAAAAGGGTCAAACATTAAAGGTGTTCATACTTTTTACAGGCAGCTTTAATCCAGCTGTGGTTCTATTGATGATTCCCAGTTCAGTCAGATTTCAGGCTGTACTGGTCCTACTGGGACCAGTACAGCTGACTGGTTTGTTTCCAAACCCAGCAGATAAAAACTTTTCATCATTTTCCTTCTGTTATTATCCTCTCTGCTGCTCTGACACCAAACTGAGATACGTCAGAAGGTTCTGGTTGTGACTAAAGTCCAAAGAGCAGAACCAGAAACTCCATTATGACTGGAGAACCAGTCAGCAGCTGATGAGGCGTGAGTGTGTTCAGGTGTGGCGTTGGCACGGCAACGGGAAAATTCGGGCGTGGCTCGGCGTGTGTGTGTGTCTGAGATTCAGGGTGTGTGTGTGTGTGTGTGTGTGTGGATCAGGGTGTGTCGTTCCCTCAGGTCACAGTTTACTCATGAACACATTTGTAGCTGCAGGGAGGAAAAATTACAGCTTAGACCAAATCAAACAGGTTCAGATTGTTTTTAACCTCAGTGAGGAAAATACAGTCAGAACAGGCACTGAATTGGTCAGAACCGGGTCAGAACTCTTTTATTTATATTTCTATTTACTTCCAATGGTTGATATTTTTCATTTGTTCTCTCATATTTTAGTGATTTTATGTCATTTTGTCCTGATTTCCTTGTTTTTGTTTTTTTCTTTTGCCCATTTCTACCTTCAGTGATCCTGCAGAATGTGGAGTAACGGACAGATTAGGGATTAAATAATCAGATTATTTTCATTTTTGATTGGAGCCTCCCTGCTGGTTCTGATCTTTCTGCAGAGCTCAGCTGCATGTTTACAGCAAACATCTGGACCTTCATCTGTCTGACAGAGACGCTACTGTCCATCTCTGTGAGGCGTCTCTGTCCCCCTGTCTGTCTCTCTCTCTCCCTCTGTCTCTCTCTCTCTCCCTTCATCCCTCCATCTCTCTCTCTCCGCCCGTCATTTCCTCTGACTCTCTCTGAATCACAGGTGAGTAAGCGGCTGCAGAATGTGCAGCGTGCTCAGACCTGCTGCAGGACAGCAGAGCGGTTAAAACCCGGCGCTCGCCCAGAACCAGAACATTCTCCTCAGCTGATTTCTGGATCCACCGACATGCAGAGCTGCTGGGTTTTACTCTGCGTGGTTCTGGCTGCTCTGGGCTCGGTCCAGACCACCTACACCTCCTACTGTGAGTACCTGGACTTGTTCTGCCGCTCAGATTTGGTTCTGATGCTTCATTTTCCCTGAAGCATCAGAACCTTTCTGCTTATCATCGTTTCCTCTCAGTGAACTGGGAACCAGAACCAGAACCAGAACCTGGATCCAGACGAGGCTGAAGTGGTTTGGTGGAGGGTTCTGTTCAGCTGCAGGTTCTGTTCAGCTGCAGGTTCTGTTCAGCTGCAGGTTCTGTTCGGCTGGAGGTTCTGTTCAGTCTGGTTCTGTTGGGTTTTGGGTGTCTGTATCAGTGCAGAGTTTGGTTCTGTGATCCAGAACCAGAAGGAACCTGCAGCCATGTTTCGTTTTGGCTCCTGGACCAGAGAACAGTTTGTGGTTCTGAACCAGAACCGATCGGATCGGATGGATTCGTTGATCCAGACGAGTTCTGATCCTGGAAGATGATTTGTGCCAGGACCCGGTTCTGAAGTTTGGACCTTCTTCTGGGTTCAGAACCAGGTCCGGTTCCGCTCTGGGCTCCATATGATGGATCTGTGATCTACCAATCAGGCGTATCATTATGACCACCTGCCTGGCGGCCCGGTCCGGTTCCTGAGCTGCAGTTTGACCTCCATGTTCAGCAGAAATGTTTCTGTCTAACTGAAGCTTGGTGACCAGTCTGGACTGGGTCGGCTTTCTGGTCCAACTGGACGGAACCAGGTTTCCCTCCAGTCTGGGGTCAAATCACAGGGATGATGTTTGTCTCTCTTTGATCATTTCTTGCTCTCAGACTTTGTTTTCTCATCTCAAGTCAGAACAAGTTACAAAAAGACTGAAAATGAACTGAATACATTTATTTTACTTCCTGTTTTCATCACTTCTGATGTTTGGTTGGATTCTTCTTCTCTGTTTCTGCTTCGGATCAGAACCCAGAGGTCCAGACGGTCATAATGTTCTGCCTGATGTTTGAATGTTTCTGGAAAACCATCAGAATAAAACTTCCTGTTCAGACATGAAGCAGGTCCAGACCGGCTGACTCAGAACCAGAACAGAATCAGGACAAACAGAACCAGCTGAACAGAACCAGCTGAACAGAACCGCCTTCCTTCAGAACAACAAGCAGATTTTTATTCTACTGAAAAGGCAGAAATGAAAGAAAAACGACGTAAAACCAGCAAAGTGGATCTGGATCATGTCCTCAGATCACCGCCGCTCTGCAGGAGGGAGACGCCCAGCGGGGGGAAGGAGGGCAGACCCGGGGGGGGGGCAGACCGGGGCGGGGGGGTAAACAGACACCAGGGTGAGGCCCGTCTGCCCCGCCTTCGCCTCAGGATACAGAGTTTGGAGACGTAGCAGAGAAAAATCCAGAAGGATCTGTCGACACACGACTGAGAAACAAACAGAACCTCAGAGGAGATCTGAGGTTCTGAGGTTCTGCTGCTCCGACCCGATCCAACACCACCAGGTTTAACAACAACAACCTGCAGAGAGCAGCTGGTGGAACCAGAGTCCAGATGTACCAGCTGGTTCTGGTCCAGTAAATCTGCAGAGAGCAGCTGGGTCCAAAAGTATTCATACCCTGACAGAGTCTAAACTACCAAGTTTGTTTCTATGGAAACGTTTAACTGTCAGAGAAAGAGTTTAATTACAGATTATAACTTATTAATAACTTATTAATAAGGAGTAAATCCCTCATTCCCTTTATTTCCTCTGGTTATAAACATCCTGAGGTTTTACTGTTTTAACGTTTTACGAATTTTCTCTTTAAATGAAAGGATATTTTGGTTTTAATAATTATAAAGTCTTTATAAGACAGACGGACCTCAGACAGACGGACAGACGGACCTCAGACAGACGGACCTCAGACAGACGGACCTCAGACAGACG